GATGTTATTTTTTTATCATAATTTTATCAGTCTTTATCATATAGAGGTGACTCCTAGTTCAGCTCTGGACTGTCATGGGCTGTTGATGTTTAATTTGAGCCTTTATTAATTAAAATCATACAGATCAAAGATCCATTAAAGTTGTTAAATTCCAAATTTAAGTCACTATTCATTAAAATCTGAATTTGCTTCGTATTAATCGTTTATTGTCGAGTAAAAACTATTGACTTAAGTTAAGATAGAAATGTCTCAAAGATCAAATAATTTCAGTTAGTATACTGATTGAAATTCTTGTGAATGAATCCTGAAATAGATTGTTTGATTGAATTAATTTCATTATCAAATCGTCGAGACCTGGAGTCCACACTCTGGGAGGTTCTCGACCATTCGTGAATCTTGAGATTTCGATACGTATATGTATGTTGGTTTTGGTAGAATGATTCTATGTAAGTGCCATAACTTAAAAAAGAACATAACATAACTTCATTCTTTTTTATCTCCGAAGGAGTAAGCAGAGTTATATATTACGACACTTAATACCGCTGTACAATGTAACACACAGTTTTCACTATTATTTTATAAGTCCCATGTAATAGGGGGTGAGCCTATTGCCATATACCGGGCACATTTCCAGACTTCACGCTACTACCGAGATTTTTTTTAAAAACCCAGCAATTCTTTGTCTGACTCGGGGATCGAACCCGAGACCCAAGACCGAGACAGTCAATATAAATAAAGTATCAAATTATAACAATATTTTAAAGTACGGCGAGCGCGACTTCGTCCGCGTAGATTAATGACGAGCGACTGCCTCATTGGCCGAGTGATCGCAAGTGCGACTTCCGGGCAAGAGGTCTCGGCTTGCATTCCCGGGTCGGGCAAAGTATTACTGGCTTAAGAAAATCTCAGTCGTAGCACAGAGTCCAGAAATGTGCCCGGTATATAACAATAGGCTCACCTCCTATTACATGGGACTCATAACATAAATAGTGAAAAGTGGGTGTGACATTGTACAGAGGCATTAGGTGGGGGCTCTTGGGGGATAAAAGGCGTGATGTTATATTATGTCAAATGAAATCGTAGATAAAAATTATAGAAGTTAGTAGGTTTTAAAATAGTTTCTTGACTCCAACATTATTATCGCGAACCAGCCCTTGGTTATTTCGTGTCAGAAACATAATCGATCGACTTTATATCAATGTTATGACCTCGTAGTCCTACAATGTCCACTATATAAGTTTCGTGTTATAAGCCATTAAACTAAAACACGTTCTTTGGTTAACTGTGGCTTGACTTTACCTGTTAAGGTTAAGGAATTATGGAAATATGGCCTTTAAGTGGGACTTTTATTATGTTTGTGTGTAGGTTGAAGCAGTGCCGTATTCGGAGCCCGTGCCTAGGGACCCCATCCTCAGGGGGGCCCGAAAAACCGACAAATTCTACGACGCACACACCCGCTACATGTTGCGCGGCAACGTGTACTGATTCCTGCACGAAGGTAATCTTTGTGTAATGTCGCGGAGAACCTAACGGGTTACCGGGGCTCCGGCTCGACGTGCAGGAGAAGGAACGGGGTGGTTTTTAGTCAGTAAGAGTCTGACACTCCCTCCTGCCTCACCTAGGCGGGAGAAGTCATTCGATTTTCTCCCCTTAAAAAAATCTTTGTGTGATCAATGAACAATTGTTTCGGGTCTGGGTGTCATGTGTATGTGTACTTGTATGTTTGTAAATGCACCCATGATATAGGAGAAAATTCTTGTATGGGGCAACGTTAAAAAAAGGAAGCGTTCCTAAAGGGCCCTGACTTATTGTGGGGGCCCCAGCATCTAAGACGGCCCTGGGTTGAAGTTATTATTGCTTTGATTTGATTTTTGGTGTAGGTGTCTGGACTGTGAACAAGTTTATGACGGGTCAGTTGCTTCGTTCAGTGAGTGGTTGTGAGAATAATTGCTAAGGGCTATATTTTGTGGGTTTGATATTTACGTCGGGATTTTTTTTATTGTCAGGATTTTTTTCTGTACTGCTTCGCTTTGCTTAAAACCTCGTTCGTATTCAGATTTCTGACTAATATATACATTCATTTATAACATCACGCCTGTCTCCGATCAGGGTAGGTAGAGATTATGTATTTTCGTGCATGCTCGTCGGTTAAGGGTACTTTTAATTTGGCTAAGCAACCTCTACCGACAGCCGAGATTTCTTACTCATACAAATAATAGGTATATGTAAATCACATGCCACCCATTCTCTGATAATCACCACAAGCTTACACAGATTCCAAGCTAAAAAAAAGAAACCGAAAAATCTCCCGGGAACAAAAATTCCCGGGACGAAAAAAAGCATCAATATCTCTCATATCTAACGAGCAAAAACTCACAGACAATAATAGAAGTTTTTGAAAAAAAGTCAAGATCAATTTATGGAATTAAAGGGATTCGGAGAGCTTGGAAGTTGACGCGGCCGGTGGGCGGTTGAGCACGGGATTACCGCGGGATTAGGCCCCCTTCCCGCGTGATCCCGGCCCTAACAATCCACTGAGATTATAAGAAATGAATCAAACGTTCCCGGGATATTGAAACCAAAGATTATGTATTGTGATTGTGGTAGAAGTGGCAATGTGGGTATTATTTCGTTTCAATACTAAGAACAGTAGGTTAACAAAGATGAAGTCATTTTTATGGTAAAATAATATGTATGTGAGTAGATAGCTTAGAAAACCTAAATCACCTTTCAAAACTAGTTAAAATTTACAGTAGAGGATTTGCAATTCCTACTTACAAGACATTAAATATTATGTTATTTAGAAGAATTGCCATTGTAATAAGAACTGAATATATTTCGAAATATTGGACAAGAATATCACTTTACATTACACATTCACGATACGTGAATGAAAATCCGCCACACCATACCATACTGTTAGGAAATCGTATAATGAATTATTTTGCAATTCCACCTAACTAATGTAAACATTCATTAATACTTTACCAAAACAATACTTACTCAAACAAAACCACCAGAAATATAAATAGACACATAACAATAACAACAACTTATCTAAAACCCTAACAAACCAACAATTCAGAAGCCTCTTTCTTCCTTTTTTACCTCTTACCCAATTTTCCTCATCTAAAAATAAACTCCAATTCGTCAAATAGTCTAAATTACCTATCCTATTGAATAGTACTGTCTGCGAGAATAATCTATGTCCCGGGACTCCCGGGGCGGGATGTACTGGTCAATACTTAGTTAGGAACTCCTTTATATTAACTGGCCGAGTGGTTATTGAATGAATCCCGGGATAACGGGCCGTATTGATTCCCCACACTAATGGAAATAGTTTCGGATTTCTAGAGAGCTTTCGAGATACGTGGTTGAATGTGGCTTTGATTGAGATTCGTATTTTAGTTTGAAATATATAGTTTTTGTAAAAAGAGATTATAGTAATTAATGATGAATTTAAAAATAGAACATGCTTTTGTTTTTAAAAACACATTGCCCCACATTAGGATTTTCTCCCGTGTCGTGGGTAAACTTATACAAATATACAATTTCACATGCATATGACACCCAGACCCGGAGCAACAATCTGTCGATCACACGAAGAGTTGTTGCGTGCGGGGATCGAAAACCCGCAACACATTGCATGGCAGCCGGTTGTCCGGTCACCGCGTCAACCATGCAGTCAAAATTATGACAAGGATACAAACCAAGAGCCCGTGGAGAACTAATATAAATGTTGAATTTAATCATCATCGAGTCTGTAACACTTTCACCGCATGTACTCGTTAATGAACTTTGGAAGTACGTTTAATAAACGTGAAAAATACCATTTTTTATGGAATAGGAGTCAAACGAGCAAACGGATCACCTGGTAAGTGATTAGCGTCACCCATCGACACCTACAACACTAGAAGATTCATTGGTGCGTTGCCGGCCTTTTAAAAAGGAATACGCTCTTTTCTTGAAGCTATGAAGGTCGTATCGGTTCGGAAATACCGCCGACGACAGATCATTCTACAGTTTTACTGTGCGAGGCAGAAAGCTACGAGAGAAGCCCACAGTTGTGGCCTGACAACCATCTGATGAGGATAGATATGCCGTCGTGAGGATCGATAGCGAAACAACGCTGCAGGTATCAGATCAAACAATTCCTCAGAGCTCTCCCAGTGGTATAAGCGATAGAAAATGCGCAACGAAGCTACATATCTACGCATTGCCAAAGTGCCTTGCTGGTTTGAAACATCCCGACATCCATACCTCATCGGTATTTGCTAGATTTCGAACAATCATTGTCAGGTAAGAAGTGGGTTCGAATCGGGACCACAACTGTAACTGATGGTTTAAATAAATACTAAAAAAAGAATAAATAAAGTATCCAAAAAAATCTGGAAATACTTATGGCACTTGATTTGATTAATAGTTTCTGTCACTGATACAAACAGACAGTCTGTTTATTTTAATACTTTATGATTAATGTATTTAAAGGTTACCGTTATTGTATTCAGATCGGAAAAACAATATAAACAACTTGTGGTACTCAAAATATACTAAATTATGAACGTGTTTATAATTTAGACTAGTTGATTTTTGTATGTCGACTTTGATTTATTTATAGGAAGTTTTATATATATATTTATAAGAATTTCAAAGCGAGTCACTATGAACTGGGTCAACAAAATCTTTGTTACCTATGATAGCTATTAAAAATAAAACTGACAATTTCTTTCTGAAATAAACAATGATTTAAATATTCCTAGAATGAACTTTATGAACCCTTAATATCATTAGTTATCAAATAGCCAACTATATCATATTTTTTTAATAAATTAAATGACTTCTAAACCAATTCATAGACACGCTACGATTTCAACCTAGACTCAGCTATATAAATACATAAATATAGTACCTAAGTATACAAACATAATTACATAATATTTAAGAAAATCACTCAGAACTCGTGAATAAATATGGCGTCAGCAGTAAAGGTGCTTACTTACCGACACATGGGTTGTGGTTTACCACAGCGAATATGCGGTCGCATCGCTTCTTCATGTGTGTGTTGGGGCAAATGCAGCCGAAGAGAGGGGAGAGACGGAGACCAGCCCAGGCTTCGCGGCATGCTTCCCTGGTGACGAAAAAGGTTGAACATGTTATTTGATTATTAATTACTTTGTCGTATGAACATACATAACATAACGTCACACCTTTTATCTTCGAAGGGGTAGGCAGAGGTGTATATTACGGCACTTAATTACAATGTAACACCGACTTTTCTTGTCTTCGTAGGGATGTGCCGTAACAGGTGTTGCACCGTGGGGGCTTCGGAGCAGGTCTCTTCTAGAGGACCCGGTGCCCCTTACAGGTGTTAAGGGTGGCCACCGTTGTGGTTTTAGTGAGGTACGAATCCCACACTCCCTAGTCTTTATCCCCAAAAAGCTAGGAGCCTTTTGAAGGTTTCCCTTCGTCATAAAGAAAGGTTAAGGCATTCAATAAATAAATTTGTGTATAGATTCATATAATCAGTTTGTAACCTTTTTTCGTCTATAAATAGTAGAATGTAATTAACGGCTTCAAGGAAATTATTATTTTATAAAAATACCTTATTTTGAGGGACTTTGAAGACTTTTTCTATCCGACATTAGATGTCAGAAACATTTTTGATAATAATTTTTATCAACTATATTTAGAATCCTTCCGACAGCCTGAACCGCAAAAAGATTACTTTGATATTTTTATATTAGACTCTTTTTTATTTTATCTAATCACTTGCCAGTAAATTTTCGTAATTCACTCAACATTTTTGCTGAATTCTGATAATGAACAATAGCTACTTTCCTTCTTTACATTAAACATATTTTAGATGCATAATTTTTCACACATATCACCTAATGTGAAATGATCAGGACTGCTCAAGTGCTCATGGTTCAGAAGAGCGTAAAATAGAAGTAAGCGCTGTACCGGGCTTAACAAGATGAATGAATGTTGATAGATTTTGTTTATTTCATTTCGTATCGGTTCGGAAATACATAACATAACATCACGCCTTTTATCCCCGAAGGGGTAGGCAGAGGTGCACATTACGGCACTTAATGCCTCTGTACAATGTAACTCCCACTTTTCACTATTTATGTTATGAGTCCCATGTAATAGGGGGTGAGCCTATTGCCATATACCGGGCACATTTCCAGACTCCGTGCTACTACTGAGGTTTTAAAAACCCAGTAATACTTTGCCCGACCTGGGAATCGAACCCGAGACCCCTTGCCCGGCAGTCGCCCTTGCGACCACTTGGCCAATGAGGCAGTCTACCTCATAATATTGTGTTTTTAACCAGCAGCTGCGTTTTTCTATCTATATTATAGATATATTACTAAATTTACCTGTCATCCATCCGGCATTCGCCATCACGGGCCTTGCAAGCGTTCTTGAATCGGTCGAAGAGTACAGAGCAGGCTCTCTCGTTGTGGCAGACGCTCAGGGCATACGTGCAGGTCGGCAGGGTCTCCACTGGGTACGGGTCTTTTTCTAGAAGAAAGATCAGTGACTTTAGCCAAACGCCACTTTAGCGCTTGTCTACAAAGAGAGTAGAAAACTAAATGTATGGGGTTGACACTGATAAGTGTCAAAATTTACGTCAATTCCATATAATTTGGTTTTCTATTCTACACGTAGACAGGCGCTAAATGGCATTTGGCTACAGCTGCAGGGGTTAATATTGTTAATTTTCTTGTATAAAGAGAACAAGAGTTCTCAATCTAGCTAGAGGTCTGAAATGTAGACGGTAATAACCCCGTATTGGTGATCGTGGTAGCCCGGAGGTTTAAGAAGCCAGTTTATCATGTACGGGTGCGTGTACGAAATCTATCAACGGCAAGTACCAATTTGACTTTTTCCGAGTTACACGTACTTTCTAAGATCAGTTACGACACCACGGACAAACGGTGAAGGAAAACATCGTGAGGAAACCTGAGCTTATATTTTTTAATTATAAGTTTAAAATTCCCAATCCGCGTTGAGCAAGCGGGGTGATTAATTCTCAAACCTTCCTCGTGTGAGAAGAGGCTTTTGGTCAGGAGTGGCTTCTTATAGGCTGTTGATGATGAACCCCATAAAATGTGCGGTACAAAGGCTACCTTTTCGTGTATTAAAACGTGTTATTGAAGTCCACGTTGCTTTAATTTTTTTTTTAAGGGGGGAAGATCATCAAATGACTGCTCCCGCCTGGGTGATTTCCACCCTTTTTAGGCAATTTCATTTAAAACCCGTTCCATAAATCATAGTTTTCAAAATATATTCCCAAAAACTCCCTTTAAACAAACACACGCATACAGGGTGTTACATAAAAACTCTGTAACGGTTATCATGCCCACTTTGTCAGTACATTCGAGCTTCGTAAACATTGTCAGCTCCAAACATAGTGTAGCCACAAAAAAAACTTTGACACGCAATAAAACCGAGGAATTTTAAAACGAAAATATTTTTAAACTGGCAACATTGACGGGTTACGGTGAACTGGAAATTGTTGAAGTAAATAAGTGGAATGTAAAAAATATAGATAAGTAACATCACCTTTTGTATTCTCCTGATTTTTTTTAAACATTGGCCCATACTAGGATTTTCAACTGTGTCGTGGGTGCGTTTACAAAGATACAAGTTCACAGACACATGACATCGCAGACCCGACACAACAATTTATTGATCATACTGAGAGATGCTCCGTGTGGGAATCGAACCACGTTGCACGTCAGGCTGTTGCCCAGCCACCAACCGTGCAGTGCAGGAAATGGTTAATTGTACGGCGTTTTTTTTAAGTGGGGAAAAATCGAATGACTTCTCCCGCCTAGATGAGGCGGGAGGGAGTGTCACATTTCGAGCCGGAGCCCCGGTAACCCATTAGGTTCTCCGCGGCTCAATATCGGCATCAGCCCTATAGGGAGGACGTGGAGCTGTGTTTTTTTATTTAATGTACGGTTATCACCTAATATTCCAACACCGTAGATCCCATACAGAAAATGATACAAATTGCAATTATTTTCGCCTAGGCAGCAAACTAAGCAGTGATGTTTCTATTGAGATTATTAGCCATCCTATTAAACTGTCAAACACCGCGAGGACACCGGTGACCGCGACCTATTGTTCTTTAATTGTATCTATAATGACGGTACTCAAAGAGTATCAATACTGGTAATGTTATGTATCAATGAAAGAAAGGTGTCCCTATATTCTAGCCAACACTGATAGCTGCCATCATAGCAGGGTAAATCAATTTTAGGCAAACATAAAAGACATTTTAGTGTTTTCTCAACAAAACGTTCATTAGATATAGTATATATTTCTATTGTTTTTATAACAAAATACGCAATGCATTGTCCATTCTAAACGCCAAGCTATTACGAGTAAATTGTTCGATCAAAAAACATAGGTTGTCTCAAAGTAAATTAACTTCGTACGCGAAAAGAATGTAATTAGATGAGAATTGCTTTTTTTGCTCGCATTCCTTCAAAATAAAGAATTTTGTGAGTATTCTTTCGATTTAAGCTTAGCTAATTTGGTAGTTTAGCGATGTTAGTTAAGTGGTTGGTAGTGTGACCGCTAAATAAAGTGTCTCCGGTTCGATTGCTGTCTCAAAACTGAGTATTGTTGCGTAACTCGTTGGCCAAGTGGTCGCAAGTGCGACTGCCGGGTATGAGTCTCGGGTTCGATTCCCGGGTCGGGCAAAGTATTATTGGGTTTTTTTCAAAAAAACTCAGTAACATGGAGCCTAGAAATATGCCCGGTATATGGCAATATGCTCACCCCCTATTACAAGGGACTCATAACATAAAATAGTGAAAAGTGGGTGTTATATTGTACAGTGGCTGTGACCCGTCTTGTGTGTAAACATGGATCCACGCGAGACACAATGTATTTTCTATTGTGTCTCATATCGGTGCATTCAAGTGATTAAGTGCCGTTATGTGCACCTCTGCCTACCCTTTCGGGGATAAAAGGCGTGAAGTTATGTTACGTGTAAATACAATATCTTAAAGAAGAAATAATACCCTTAGACTATTGCATAAAATTACTGATTGTTAAGATTATCTAAATTAAAAAAAAGCAAGATCCGTTCTGCTTTGTATTCGGGAAAAGGTTTTACTAAACCTAGCAGGTAGGTATAGGCTGACTTTAATCATACTGTAGGTTAAACTCAGACTATAATTTCAGGTATTCAAAGGCTTGCCATTTTATACATTCTAGAAAGAAAACAATTCAGACCAAATTAGTCCATTTAAGTCAACCTATTTTGGTAGATACCTAATGGAAGAATTGTGTTATTTCCTTATCAAGGAAGGCCTGCAAAGTGGTATTGATATTGTCAATCAAATTGAACTGCTTCGCAAAGGTCAAGTGAGTTATTTCTTTCAATTAAGGAGGTTTAACTTTATTGAGGGACTGACGATTCTTTTTCTGTGTTATTACCTCGTAATTGACTTGAAATGAGCGATGACAATTCTTCTTTTAAGCGAATTGGACGCTTGGTAAGTTTGTTTAAGTTATGATTGTGTTCCTTTTATTAAAACAGTATTAGTACCAATATACTTTAGTTACTTAAGTCCATTGAATGTGAACCAGTAACTTTTTACTAATCCGCGAAGTGCAAGCGTGGTCTTCAATGTTCATTCTTTGTTAATTCTTCTCACAAAAAAGGCCTTATCAACGGACAATTGAAGCAGTCATGCTAGCTAAGGAGAAGGCGGGACGCATGATGCAGCGAAGCGCTGCCTCCTCGCAACCCAGCCATCGCGATAGACACTCCGGGCGTCGGGGATGGCGACGATTTCCGGCCACCGTAAGCGTGGGCCTGCGGACGGCGAGCATGGGTGGCTCGCCGCCCGACCAGCACCAGACCCGAGCGTAAGGCGCGTCGCATTCCGCGCGCACCTCAAAGAGGCATCAGACCACCACGGATGGGGCCCAATAGACTGATGCCTATTCGGAGCCGCGGAGAACCTAACGGGTTACCGGGGCTCCGCCTCGAAGTGAAGGAGTAGGAATGGGGTGGTTTTTAGTCAGTAAGAGTCTGACACTCCTTCCCGCCTCACCCAGGCGGGAGAAGTCATTAGAAGATATTCCCCCCTTAAAAAAATCATCGGATAATTGCAAGTTGATATAATATGTTTAGAACTCTAGCGTTTAACAATTATCTCATCTACAATGATTGTTGCCATTTACCATCAAGGAGGTGTTCAGCAAATGGGAGGTGTTGGAGAAAACCTTTGCACTAGTCCGCTAATATACAGCCCACAATGATGGAGCCTGTCAAATTTTATCTGCTCATTTAAGTAATATTAATTTAAATGCGATTCTTCTTTAAAACCCTTTAAAAACAGACTTACCCTTCTTCATCACGAACACGCAGGGATGGTCAAACAAGAAGTCGCGGAAGGAGTTACATTCAGGATCGACGTTCGGTTCTCGACAGAGGCAGGTCGGCTTGAAGAACGGGAAAGCTTGCAGGGTCCTCAAAGCAGCTTGGCATTTCGTCACGGTCACCGTTGAACAGGCCACTGGAACAAGAGAGGAAGGTGAATGAATATATCCTCTTTAACTTTAGTAATTTTAGTAATATACGAGTATTGCATTTTTGATGCACATTTTTGAGACTTGCGATATTCTTAGATCTGTTTTGTGTCTTGTGTTGTCTCTTGGGAATGTGTATGAATATTTTTTATTTTTTTTTAGTTTCAAGATATTTTTTTATGAAATACGTTTAAACATTGAATTCAATCCCCTCTTTTATTTGAAGTCGGTTAATTAATATACTATAACTTTCTCCAAGTGTAAAGTGTAAAACTAACACTTTTCTGCAAACCATATCAATATTGGTACAGCCAATCGTGACGTAAAACATACATACAACATACAGGACAAATTAAGAAGCACTTTTTTGAAGTCGGTTAAAAATATAGCATATTCATTTCCCGCCCATTGTGTTAAAAGGCTTTATTTAAATAGGAGTCCTAATGGGTATTGCTTATAAGTGTTAAAAGAGGTTTCATCCTAAATCCTAATTTAGACTGCACGGTTGGCGCGGTTGTAGGGCGACTAGCTGCCGCGTACCGTGGCGCGGGTTCGATTCCCGCATGGAACAACTCCTTGTGTGATCCACAGACAGTTGTTCCGGGGCTGGGTGTCATGTGTATGTGAACTTGTATGTTTGTAAACGCATCCACGACATAGGAAAAATCCTAATGTGGGGAATGTGTTTTTTAAAAACAAAAGAATGTTCTATTTTTAAATTCATAATTAATTACTGTAATCTCTTTTACAAAAAATATATAGTGTGGGTCAAGATTAAAAAAGAAATACGGGTCCGATTTTATATAGATTTGGTATTTACTCCCAGCTTTTCTAGACTATTTTTACAATGTAAATGGTTATGAGAAAATTCTATTTTTAACACATGTAAGTAATAGGTTTTACTAACGAATATTACAAAAATAGAATTCCTCTTACGAATATGTGAATCTGGGTTAATAGAACGACAAAAATATATTCCCAAGACGTCAAACACAAACACGTGGGTGTTGAAGTAAATGTATCAACTTGTCTATCACAGATCCTGTATTTATAAGATAAAAATAACCTCTGAAAAGGAAATTTAGGTCTATAAACATACGTATAAGTGTCGAAATTACTTGTAAATTTATTTTTGAGTTAGAAGAATTGAAGTAAAACATGTTATCAAGTGTTTTTGAGATTTTATTTTAAAACTTTTTGTTGATTTTCATTCGTAACGTTATGTCTTTTAATCCTTAAAGAGGTAGGCAGAGAGATCCACTTTCCAACCACTGTCCCGGGAACCTAATCCGAAATACTGAATCTTGAACCAATGAGGCAGTTAAGATGACGAGGAGTCTGATATGATATGATGACCTTAAAGGCCGTAGATATAAAGTCCAGTTTACCTATTACTATTCTAAACTACAGATATGATTTTCTATTCCATATCAGTATTCCATTTGAATTTGGCATCAACTACCTCTTAGATAGCATCTCTAAGACCCGTAATTGTAAGGTTAAAGGGTCTACGGAAGGTCATTGCCCCGCCCTAACAAGCTACGGAACCCTGACAAAAACGGGGTTCCCGATTATCTGTAGAATTAGAAGTTTTTGTGAGGTCTGTGCCATTAGGGAGGGGTTGGCAATATTAAGGTTTTTCTGGTTTTATTGAATCTGTGAAGTCAATCTTAGATTTGTAGCTTGAATTTGATTGAAGCCTTAGTTTTTGTTTGTTGTAGGAATCTCAGTGTCTGGCGCGAAGCGTTAGGCTCATCGTCATAGGCTACTTAATGAAGCAACCTGCATCCAAGTGCCCCTTGCGACCTTACTTAGGTAGTCCGTCCACCTTGCGGGTGGCCATATTGCGCTGAACGTCCAACAGTCAGTTTCAATAACCTATCTATCTGTAGATTTGCTAACTAGAGATAGAATTTTGGCATGTTAGTAAGTAAATCTACAGATAGATAGGTTATTGAAATTGGACGTAAAGCAACTAAGTTACTTCAATTACAATCTAGGGTCGTTGAAATTTTATCATTTTGTCTAGCTATAAACATAGTGTGACTTTTGTATATTTATTACTTAAATACGTCTGAATAACTGGACAGATCTGGATCAAAATTGACACAGATAATGATTATACTTTGGAACGAACTCCCTGCCAAGGTTATCCCAGTGGGCTACAATATACGGAGCCGCGGAGAACCTAACGGGTTACCGGGGTTCCGGCTCGACGAGCAGGAGTAGGAACGGGGTGGTTTTTAGTCAGTAAGAGTCGGACACTCCCTCTCGCCTAACCCAAGGCGGGAAAAGTCATTGGATGATTTTTCCCATTCAAAAAAAAAAGGGGGATACAATATGGGGTTCTTCAAGAGAGGAGTAAATAGGTCGGCAAGGCGCATGTGCATGTGTTGCCTTGCAAGCGTTCATAGGCCACGGTAACCATTAATACCATGTGGGGGCTTACTCTTGAATCCAATTCCGATCGATCGGCATTAGTATTGTAAAATTTCGTACTCTTGAGTTGTAACACTAGCGCCCATTGCATCAGTATTGCGTGGATATTTAATGAATTAAATGGTATTGAATTTGGCTTCATATTCCGTACTCCGAATGCTATTGTAACAGCTACGATAGTAGTATTGTAACTTTCGTGAGACATAGTAAATAAATTATTATGTTTTCGACTTACTCACGTAATAATTTGACGAGGAACTCGACTAGTTTCAACCCATGCTAGAGGCTCATATTCATGAGCAGCATTTCGTGACCCGCGACGCGGCGACTGTCGCGCTGCTCCATGGCTTGAAACTAGTCGAGTTCCGCGTCAAATTATTACGTGAGTAAGCCGAAAACAATAATTTAGCTACGATAGTGGTTATATAGTTTTGAGATTGAATAATTATTGAGATTTTATTGGATTAAAATTGCATTGATATTGAGATTGGTTTCAAGAGTAAGCTAATAGGTGGGCCGTGTGAGTTTTTGCGACCTTCGTGGTATAAAAAATGCTACTTTTTATTCCGGTAACGTGGATAAAGCCGCTGTTAAAAGCTAATGTTGAATATAATTTCATGTGAATTAACACACATGTTAAACATGAAAGATTTAATTGTTCTTTCACCTGTTATTAAGTCCAAGAATATCGTTTGTAAGTGAGAACGACCGACAACTGAATATGTATAATTAGCTGATTGAATATTCTGACGATGTTTCAAATCTTTTCAAATCTGGCTTGTAAAACTTTACATACATATCCTTGTTATTCTAGGTTTTTACTAGTTTTGTTATAAGTTTTATCTGAACGGCCTATTACCATGCATTGAGCACAATTTCAGACTTCGTGTAATAGCTGTGAAGTTATTTAATTACCGAAAAAATGTTAGTATGTAGTTAATTTTTGTCAGACTGGGGAATCCTTTTGCTTTACGACACTTACGACAAAATTTTTCTATTTGTTTTTTGACATATTTGTTGAGTATTTACTCTGTTGGAGTGTTTGGTTTTCATTTAAATAAATGACGGACACTTTTTATGTATTCATTTTATAAACTAAAAAAAACACATTTTTCGGCGACATGCGTTGTTGCGTATCCTGCGCAGTTAACTTTTTATTGAAAAACTAGATGGCGCTACTAGTAACTGCCCATGGAGAAACTAGATGGCGCTACTGATATATACATTATAATATTTATCTTACATACTCAATAAAGAAAAATTCAATTCATAACACCAGAAATTGTAGTGCGGTAAATTGTTCCATCCAGATTGTCCTTCACGAGTTTGTGTAAACTTCGTACGGTTCAACCCGTCATTGGTCTTGTTATCTTTGAATTTCAGTTTCATGAGCTATCATTCAGTTTGTGGGTTCGTTAGTTATACTCTTGTAGCCTGTTGGGTATAATTTTGTGAGTAATTGGTTTGATATTGTGAGGTCAATGTAATGTATGACTCCTTCATATAGTTAAATCGAATAGTTTTGGAGTTACTTTCATTTTTTCACTTTGGCGTATCTGATTATGTGATTTTTAATAGTAACGGTTTCTTAATGACGATTTCTTTGACTGCACGGTTGGTGCGGTGGATAGACAATCGCGCACGGAACAACACTTTGTGTGATCCACAAATTGTTGTTTCGGGTCTGGGTGTCATTGTGTATGTAAACTTGTATGTTTGTAAACACACCCACGACATAGGAGAAAATCCTAATGTGGTCTAACGTTTTTTAAAAAGAAAAAAAAAGAAATGATTTTTGAACTTAAAATTGGGAGACGTCAAGTCTTTTGGGACTAATGATATTATTCTTCTAACACGGTTCTGGATCTGTCAATACAGACTTATAAAAACCAAATATAAATACAGCAGAGGCAAACCGTACTATTCAAATCCACCAATCAAAACCTCACCTCCAATTTTAGACCAATCAGCGCTCTATTCCGTTTTCTCTTTCTTATCATTTGCTATTACGTCTCAAAGTCAAAGAACAATGTATTGTAACGTCATGACAGCAAATAGACGCCATTGTTACACCATGGTGAACAATTAGCCATGATTAATGGGATCAGCTTTTACGCTTTATTATGTTCGGAGAATTTTGGATCGATCGTAGAATGACTTGTTAGTGAGATTTGGTTGTTATGTTGTGTATAGTATTAGCTAATGACATCAACAGCCCGTTCACTATGGGTCTTCAGTACATAAGTAGGTTTGCCATAATTTCTACGTTAGCCAAGTAGGATCATGTTAGCTACTGAGATACTCCAAGCTCCAGCTACCATAAGTACGGGCCTGCAGACGGCGAGTACGGGTGACTCGCCACCCGACCAGAACCAGACCCGAGCGTAAGGCGCGTCGCGTTCCACGTGCGCTTCAACGAGCCATCAGACCACCACAGTTGCGGTCCAATAGGGCCGCGGATGACTTAATGGGTTGTCAGGGCTTCGGCTCGAAGTAAGAGCCTGACACTCCCTCTCACAACAAAATAAAAGCCTACGTAGGAACGCAG